TTTGGTCCAGGAAGCGGAAGCAGGGGATAATGCAAAACCACAAGTTTTCAGGAAACACCAAAAACTGTTTTACGCTACAAATTCAAAACAATTCTAAACTTTTATTTTTCACTCTTATTCTATGAAGACTGCTTGATAAAATGGCGAGGATAGAATATTCGATATCGACCCTATCTAGATTTTAAACATGTATATTAGGGTGGAGTGAACATCTGGGATCTTAAAAGTCGACATAAATTATTGTACTTCAAGATATCCTAAGACTAGCTGCAGGGTCGATTTGGAACTATGGGAGGCCGTTAGGCTCCTGCAAAGGGCCTAAAGTTATGTCTGCAGGGCTAAAACACCACTTTTTGACCTCCAGGGGTCAGTCTAGGGGTCATCCGGGAAACGGCTATCTCTTCAAAGGTGCGGAATACATCCAAGTAAGTACCCACGAAGTTTAAACCTGCTGCACCATCGTCTTCAGCCTGGCCTTTCGACTTTTGTGTCCAAAAAACGCTCTTTTTAATTACCTAAAAAAGTGTTTTTCACTCATATCTTTAAAACCATCGGTTTAACAGGAAAAATAAATAAAATGAAATCGTCTTGTCGTGTCGAGATGCATCAAGTACATCTCCTGTTGTCATATCCGTATCCGTTCGACCAAAGTTTGGGACATGTGGTCAAAAATCGCAATTTTACTCTGGAAACCCAAGTGTGTACTTGAACACACAATATTCTGCATACCTCACATGTATGCAGAATATTCTGTGTACTTGGCAAGTACACAGAATATTGTGTGTATACTTGGTCAAGTACACAGAATATTGTGTGTACTTGGTCAAGTACACACAATATTCTGTGTACTTGACCAAGTACACACAATATTCTGTGTACTTGACCAAGTACACACAATATTCTGTGTACTTGACCAAGTACACACAATATTCTGTGTACTTGACCAAGTACACACAATATTCGGTGTACTTGCCAAGTACACAGAATATTCTGCATACATGTAGGTATGCATAATATTGTGTGTTCAAGTACACACTTGGGTTTCCAGAGTAGGCTGTTTTTGGTCATCAGACTCAGGTTTTAGCCCTGCAGACCTAACTTTCAGCCCTTTGCAGGTGCCTAAGGACCTCCGATGGTTCCAAATCGGCCCTGCAGCTAGTCTTAGGATACCTTGCAGTACAATAATCCATTTCGACTTTTAAGATACCAGATTTTCACTCGACCCTAATGTATATCCCATAAAAAAATTTGCGTAAAGGGAGAAAGGTCGAGTTAATTCTAAAAAAATAATGGAGTTTGGAGGCAAGAGCTTACAAAAGGAGTTCTCATCTAAATGCTATATCATTCATAAGGGGTCAATTCGATTTGTCTCCTTATGCATGTAAAACCTAGAGGTGGAAAGGGATAGGTCTACTTGACTCATTTTTCATTCCGTCGTACCTCAGGATCTATGGCACGTAGGCGAACAGTTTTTTCGGAAAATGTGCCAGTTTTTCTGTGGATTAACGGCCACTAAAAGACTCAGTTTGGGTTATGTCAGTTAATCCCTTCTTCCGCTTCCTGGATCAGTTGACATATGTTTTGTTACGTTGAAAACACAGCGCTTGCTTGCTATAGCCGAATCGCAAAACAATCGAAAACTTTACTCTCCTATGATCGAGAACAATCGATTTCACCACGTGGTCTGCGGGCTGTCTGTTTGGATCCGGCTAACTTCACGGAGGCCATTCGTTCGTATTGTCATAAGTTACGGAGCTTTGGGGTCGGGTAGAGTATTGCACACACACACACACTAAGTGGAAAAGGAAATTTTTGTATCTAGGAAAGATGCGTTCTTAAGCATGGCTCTAGCGGATGGCAATTTGCACGTGAACTTAGTCTTTAAAAATGCAAATTCAAATTTGCTAGAGATGTGCTTAAGGGCGCATCCCTCCTAGATACAACATTGTCCTTTCCCCATATTTAGACTGCAAACCGCGTTCCTTCCATAGATTTTGTTGTGGACACCAATCTACTTACTGTTGCGTATCTTGAGTCGAACTGAACGATCTGACAGCAAAGACTGGGCGCTTTTGTAGTAAGCTTGGACCACACGAACATTTCCATTATCTCGGAAGTCTAGTCACTCCGGATTACTATCTGTTACGTCCCTATGTTATCATGTGAGAACTGATTCGCTAGCTCTTATGTTGAGGCTTGGGTGAAATGGCTACCCAGGTGAAAGGACCTTCACTTATTCTCTGAGATGTTTCTGTGATTGGCTGAGCGATTAGCGAAAAAAGTTCATTCTGTTTGTTTTCTTTGTCTGACTGTCACGATAACTCGACAGTGTCCCAGAAACTAATTTTACTGTCATATGTACCGAAAATGCTTTTTGGACGAAATTAAAATCCTTTTCAAAGGCGATGGTAAAGCGAACAAGCTAGGCCAGCTCTTCCGCCAAACCAAGTTGCCAGCTTCGCTTCGCTCCACCGGCAACTCGGTTCGGCAGGGAGCGGGCCTAGCTTGGCCTGCCGGCGGCGTTTGTGACGGGCCTTCGGCCTGTCCCTTCTGAATTTTTATGGTGTCATATAGCTTCTATCGAAAAACGGGCCTTCGGCCCGTTTGAGTGACGGCTCGCTTTGAACCATCTTTTTGCCAGGAACCTTTGCTGTCTACTTCGTAATCAAAACTCAACAAACGAAGCAGTCTTTTCACACGCTGAACATCTTTGGCTGTGTGTGCCGCAGTTTGTAGAATACATGCAAGTTATGCCAAATCCCTTCTAAGTTATTGATGTTAGCTTTTGGATCCAATAACACACCTATGAAAAAAATATTAAAGACTAGAACCAGAATAAGTTAAATATACTTCCAGGCCAATATGATTACGCTAAAATTACTGATAGGAAGGCAGTAGCTTGTGAAGTACAACAAAAAAAACGAAATAAATCGACACCTGAGAAGAACAACCGCTTACCTCCGCGGACTGACAACAAACCCGCTAACCTCTGCAACCCTCAAACAAAACCGCTCACCCCTGGGACACGAAAACAAAGCCGATTAAATGACTTTTTTTACACATTTTTAGATACGGGTATCAAAATGATCACTGAAAAATTCTCTTTCGAATGATACCCATGTTTCAGAATTTGTAAAAAAAGTCATTGAAGCGGCTTTGTTTGCGTGTCCCAGAGGTGAGAGGTTTTGTTTGAGGGCTGCAGAGGTAAGCGGGTTTGTTTCCAGTCCGCGGAGGTAAGCGGTTGTTCTTCTCAGGTGCCAAAATGTTTGCTTCTTTTTTTTTTTTTTTTTTTTTTTTTTTTATGCATGGGAGTGTACACATTTTTGGCTGAGCGATTAGCAAAGCCCATTACTCCAGTGACCGGAAAAGTTTCATTCTGTTTGTCTGTCTGTTTGTCTGCCCGCACGCACTCGAGAAGGAATAGGGTGTTCCAGGCAATCTAAAACAGAAGTAGGAAAAGAACAAACTCACTGACCTTTCTGTTTCCGTAATGGCTCTGATTGGTCCAGCTAATCACGTGCCTCCGCGGACTTTCAGGTATGAGAAACTGTCCGATCAGTTTCGAGCTCCCCTCCATAGGATCGGACCAAATTACCATGGTAGTTTCTCATACTGGGCGGACGGAAGCAGATAAATCAGTGAGTTTGTTCTTTTCCACTTCCGTTTTTGATAGCCTGGAAAACCCTTTTGAGAGAGCGATCTGGAAATTAGATGGTCGTTTTGTGTCATAAAAAAGACAGATCGAGTTCGAAGATGAGCATTGTAGCTCACAAATTGACTCTTAAAAAAATCAAAAACCACAGATTGCAAAATATTTTTTTTTCAAAAATATTTTGATGGGCTCCTTAACGGTTCTTCGTGAAAGTAGAACCCCTCGAGCGAAAATTTCGTCCGTTTTGATCTATCTTGTATCGTTTGGGTTCTAGGTGGCGTTTCTTGACGAAAATTTGGTGAAAATGACCAAATGGTCAATAAGGTGTTCCAGGCAATCTAAAACGGAAGTAGGAAAAGAACAAACTCACTTCCCTTTCTTTTTCCGTAATGGCTCTGATTGGTCGAGCTTATCACGTGCCTCCGAGGCCTTTCAGGTATGAGAAACTGTCAGATCAGTTTCGAGCTCCCCTCCATATTTGAGAGGTTAGGATCTGACCAAACTGCCATGGTAGTTTCTCATACTGGGCGGACGGAAACAGACAAATCAGTGAGTTTAGCCTGGAACACCCTATTAAATCGTAAAAAAGGATTCATTTCGAAAAATTGTAAAGGAAGTAATGCTTAAACCACGCATTTGGCGTCGAACCACACCCTCCTTTTAGCTCAAGGTTATAGCTATATGAGCACCAGGCAGCGTACCGGTGTTTCGTGGAACATCGCGAAGCCTGTTACGCGAGACGTGGTTTGGCGTACATAAAGCTAGTATTACTGATGTGCCACCATATAAAAAGCCCACTCTTCTGCTTAGAAGAAAATTTTGAACCGACGCCATACTCCTCAGACGTAAGTGTTCTCCTGAAAAAAATTAAACTGTCTGTTTTGGCCATTTTGGTAATAAAAACTCCCTTTTGTGAGGAAACAGTGAAAGCCAAACAGACGACATCTTAGCCCAGGGGACTCATCTTTTACGATTTACCCCTTTGGAGACCATCAACTATTTTCTTAAAATTATTTATTTATTTTTGGGCCACTTTTGTGACAGAATCTCCCTCTAGTGCTTAAACGGTAAAGGATAGAGCCAAACGGACGAAATTTTCGTCTAAAAGTCTCTAATTTCACAAGTTAACACTTAGGAGACCATTTAAACATAAACATTTTTTTCCCACTTCTTGGACAAACTCCAATATTTTGTTACCCCCTCAGACCCATTCAGGGGTGGTTGCTAGGATTTGCACCAACCGTATCGTTGTCCAGAAGTGACAACAATAATACCCTGAAAATTTCAGACACCTAGGTCGCGCTCTTCTTGGGAAATGGACAGACGGACGGACGAACGGACGGACAGATACAGGGGCGATGGCATAAGCCCGCTTAAACAGCCTTTAAGCAAAAAAGCGGACTAAAAAGGTGTATACGCGTGTTTTTATTGTCGTCCACGACGTCTCTGAGATGAATCTCCGTCTTCGACTCGTTCGGACAGGCTGATGGGAGAGGGGGTAAGGGGGAAGTACGACGCACCGGACTGCAAACGTTATTATTGGCAGTCTTTGTTCCTGAAGTTGGTCCTACGATAATATAGCGCGAAAAATCCGACAGTTAAGGCAATGTAATAGTCGTGTAATAGATGCGTAATGGTTACGTAATTGATCTGATAGTAAGGTAATAGAGGTGATGTATAGGTAATAGATAGGAAATAGAGGTAAAATTTTAGTAGTTGGGCCACGATTTTGGAGAGTAGATACCCCCTCGACTGGAACCTGAAGGAGAAAAGTATGACTGATCGATCTTCTTGCCTATGCACGCTCATTGTCTGACCGGCATTCCAAGGATATCGTTCACCAATCAGCGTTCAGGAGGAAACAGATCGGGCAGCCATGCTTTTCTTCTTTAGGTTCCTGTTAGCTAGCAGTGTAACATCCTATTCCGAGAGTCTATTTGATGACTCCGCACTATCAATGTCGTACACCCTTAGACAACTGATGGGCACTATCAGTAATGCTTCTGCGGGCAGTGGCCCGATGACGCTCTCTCTTCAACTCGGTAATTGGCTGAGCGATTAGCGACGCCCATTACTGCACCGACCGAAATAGCTTCATTCTCTGTGCAGCGGAATAACCTATTCATACTCTTTTTCATTTTTTTATTTGTTGTATTTCACGTTTGGCGTCATTTAAGAATATCCCTGGGAGGAAATTTACTTTCTTTAGAGTATAATCCTAGATATTTTTAGAGGTGTGTTATTAAGTTCACAACATCAATAAATTAAAATGGATTAGGCAAATTCTGCATAAGCTTAATTCTTCAAACCACTGCACACACAATTAACAGTGTACGGTGCATTGAGAGAATGCTGTAGTGGTTGAGTTTTATTTGTTTTGGAAAGCAAATGTACCTAGTAGAAAGGTGGTTTGAACCTGTTGTGAAGTAATTTTAAAATGCCTCCACTTAAGCGCCATAGAGCCACTACTGTAAATAACTGACTGTCAATTGTCTCTGTCAAGTCTATATAAGTGATTGCCGTGCTCGGAATAAACCTCTGTGATCTGCTGATCAGATCAATCTACTGCTGTTATAATCTGCTGACACTCCTCCAAACCCTCAAGGTAAAACAGAACCGAGTTCTCAACAGGACGGGCCAAAGGCCCGTTTTCTGATGTAATCTTATACAACACTACGACAAAATCTGAAGAGACGAGCCGAAGGCCCGTACCAAACGCCGCCGGCAGGCCAATCGGGGCTCGCTCCATGCTCGCTGCCAGCTCCGCTTCGCCCCACCGGCAACTTGGTTTGGCGAAAGAGCGGGCCTCGCCTGTTTTCGGGGGAGGCTCCTCAAAACCTGAGGCGAGATCTGAGGAGTTTCCTCAAATGTGGGATGTGCCCAAGGTTTTCCATTTTTCCTCAAAAGATGAAACGTAATTTAACAGTGAGTCTAGCACAGGGAGTCTTTTCCCCCATGGCACTCTCTCCCCCGGCTCTGAGTCTCAGTACTTCTTATAGGAAGACCACGACCTTAGCCTTGCCAGTCAGATAATCTGAGGAAGAAAGAAGGGAAAGGAAGGGGGTGTGGTAGCGCGCTGGTTGCCTCCGCCAGGGCCGGAGTAACGTCAGAGCCTGGCGGTCGCACTCAGGGTGACTCAGTGGCGTACGTCACACACTCGTGTAAGACGCACGTATGTGCAAAGGGCAGAGTCAGGTGTAGAGGCACACAAGTCTCAACGATTTAACACAGAACTGGCTTGTCATGGTACAAAGCAGTCCGCCTTCGAGTGGTGTATGGGTGAGCGAGCAGTGGCAGCGTCTTACTCGGTATCTTCTGTCTCCTTTCCTATCACCTGACGCAGACGCGTGGGAGTAAGAACATGCATGGTGCGGCACTCTTTTGTTTGTAGACAAAGAGACGCGAAACGTTTTGATCACTAAAGTCAACCCACGGTGAAAAACATCTTCGTAATTTTACGACATATTTTGTCTTTGTGATTT